ACATTAAAAAAAAGTAATGAGAAAGTAACATCTGCACGTCCAGTAAAAAATATTCCACTATCAGTATCAAACTTGAAGTGCAAAAGTCAACATTAACATCATCAGGTTTCCATGCAGAAAGCCAAATCCATCTCAGTATGATCTCCAACCTTCATTCTTTAACATTTATGTCATGCTCAGGTCTTATCCTATCTAATCCATCCTCCTCAGCCACCATCACCCTTCCAGTCCTTTGACATACTCACAGACATCATTCCTTCCATCTGTGGGTCATCCTCATCAAAGTTCAGAGCAATCAGTTGTCATACAAAACTCATCAGAATAACTCATATAATCTGAAGTCTATTTCCTCTGTGTTCTTATGGGAAGAAGATCTAAATTTGTAGATGCTTGAGCTTGTGCCTAGGCACCAGCATTCACTATCTGGATGCACAACACGTGAGGTGAAAGCAGCACACACCTGGATGTTGGCTGTAGGATGCCTGACACAACACAGGGTGGGAGAAGCTGCACCATCCGAGCTCTCACAAAGCCAAAATAACCTGCATTGCTCTTCCTGAGGGAAAGTTTGGACAGTTACAAGTAAGTCTATTCTCTAACATAAAACAATTCATGAAGCCTTACTGAGATTCTCTGATTTGTACTGTAGATGCAAAACCACTCATGCTACAGACTAACAGCTTTTTTCATGGAGTTTGTGTGTAAAGCTCTGACTCAAAACTATTAGTGTATATAAACTTGCCTGTGAATTAGGCTTGTACCAGTCCAGACTGAAGATTTAGTACATCACCTGCAGGTAGTTGATTTTATCGCTAAGGATGTGCCAAATCAATCCCTTTTGCTTTGCCCTATTCAACTCAGTTTTTGTAAATACCATCTTTATTTTTCTCACTGTCAGCAAAGGAACCACAGTGTACTGAAAGTATTTCCATTCACACACTGAAAAAATCTGAATATTCACACTAAAAATTTCCAATGCTTCTATACAACGATGATGGTAAAATTTGGGCCGTGAGATCACATGATTCAATTCACATGCCAAAGAAATTTCACCAGGATATACTCCACAAGTTTATTTTTGGGTAAGTTCTAAGCAATCAATATGGTCAAACATTAGCACAAACAAAATACTTTTGAGTCAAGTCATATCCAGGTGAAACTAATAAAACATTAGCACAAATTTAGGTTTTGCAGGGCCAGCTACCAAAATACTATGCAGTTATAATAAAATCAGACAACAATCACCAAATATTCTTTACTTTTGCAGTAGTTATTTTCTTTTCAGTGCCACATACAGCTTTTTGAATGGACAAACACTTCCCTATCAAGAGAAACAGCAACCTCACTTGCTGTGGCTTCTTTTTCATAATGCAAAGTACAGTACTGAGTTGGCCAAAACCAATCAGCAAACTGCAGCTGGTTAAGAAATAATTCTGTAGCTGCCCAGCATTCTTGAACATGGCATCCACAACCAGAAATATTTAAGGTGACAGTGCAAGTAGAAACTTCATCCTGGAACTAAACAGAAAACAGTAAAATATGTGTCTGGTGCACCAACAGCAAACGCACATGGAAATTCTTGCAGCTCCTCTAAAAATAATCCAAAAGAGTAGTTAGAACAGATCTTTATTTATCCTTTCTAAAAAACATCCAAGCGGAACACACATGTACTACTTCAGGTATTAGCTATGTTCATGCTTGGAATTACCCTGAAGGATCTTCTCTTCATGTCCCCATTCTATAAATCTCTACAGAAATAATGCTATATAAAAAGTAAGGAGATGGCTGAAGATTTTTGGTAACACTTGAGAGAGTCATGTAATAAGACAAGGAAGTAGCAAATTGAGGGAAGGGGAGACAAATTTTAAACACTATCCAGTGCCAGTTTTCTCTTCCAAACTGTCAACAGCAGTTGTGGGTTCCCTCTTCTCTACACTTTGCAAACTAAAATCTAATCAACAGATTCCTTTGTTGAGAAAAAGGACAGCAAGAACAGTTGCATCAGTGTTTGCTGGTTTTACTTACTACAATAGGAATGTACTGTAGGGAACAATCCAGTATTTGCAGGGGAATGGACTGGATGATCTAATACAACTTTTCCATTTCTGACTTCTTAGAACAGCTCAGACTGATCCAAGTTCTCAAAGAGATTTCTGTCCAACAATACTGAATGAAGAGAACTCCAAGACAAGACTTTTTTTTTCCTTCTTCACTTTCTTTAATATTAAGAGAGCCAGAAGAGCAAACCATATGCTACAGTATACAACCATAAAGAAAACACTAGAATAATTAAATACCTATAAAATCTAGAGTGTCTGTAGGAAAATGATAAAGTTCTTTTTATGCTTAAGCCTTTCAATCAATTTGGAGCATTTTATCCATTTTATAACTTACGAAAAAAGCTCTTTTTTAATATCTGAAATTATTAAACAGTAAGGAAAGAAGATCAGTGTAGAAAGTTTTATGAAGCAATGTGTTAAAATAGAGATATATTAGTGTCTAATCAGTAGTATATCCAAACTCCTTTTCTCCCCAAACCGACACATACCAGGACTGCAACATCCTTGGCTCAAAGCTAAAGCAGTTTTTTTCTTTTTTATTACAAAATATCTGTCATCATTCTCTGCCTGAGGAATTAAAAACATTTGTCTTTGCAAGTGCAGTTGACTTTAAGAAGTTATTGCTAGGAAAAACAGTCTTTTAAATAAGACACCAGAACCCAGAAAGAAAGATTTGGCGCTTCTGAAGTCTTGTAACAGGGAAAAACTATGGCAGATGGGATTTGTTCTTCTGCTCTTACAGCTCTCTTCCAAAAAAGGCTATGGACTATCTTCTCTGAAACTTGATATGATACTGAATAATCCTTCTAAAAATGCATTAAAGGTCAAACACCATGAGTTTCAGATGCAGTTAAACCCATCCACAGGCAGGTATATAAACTAGACAACCTTTTGAAAGCTCTTCATACCCTACTTTGTATACCTGAACTCTGCAGAACTCAAGAGGTGAGGTGTGATAGGCAGTGATACACACTGGGTCAGAGCAGAGACTCTTAGTAGTCTCAATTCCTGTAATTAAAAGACATTGTCTTTTAAATGAAATGAGTATGTGGTATTAAAGAAGGGCAACCAGCGAACACTAAGGATACAGTTTCAAGATTTCAAGAAATAAATCTATTTTAAAATAGTGTAAGGCTTCACAGGACATTAAAAGAACCATGCATAGGGTCAGAGTTACATATATGTTTAACACTTGGACCCACAAAGTACAAGACAAATAATAAAGATGGCTGGAATATTTCAGAACCTTCTTGTTTAATTGCAATAGATAATAAAGATGGCTGGAATATTTCAGAGCCTTCTTGTTGTAATTGCAATAAAGTGACCACTCATTCATCCCCTTTCTCTATTCTTTTTTGGGTAAAAGTCAGAAAGTCCAACCCACCCTGCAATAAGAAACCTGATAACCAGGACATGCAACCAGGAGAGTAGGAAGGAGAGCCAACTGTTCCAAAGTGAGAGCATCCTCCAAGTGAGTGAATGAGTTACTGCTGTGCTATCATTGTCTTCTTTCGGAATAAGGGGCAAAAGGAAGGAAGTGAAGGAGTCTCAAAAGCTTTAGGTTTTGCCTCAATAGAAAATTAGAGCAAATGTTGGAGTGTTGATGCCTCACAGGTCCACACTCATTTTCTCGCCAACCTTCTTTAATTCCCAATCCAGAAAGAAAACTAATTTAGAAACTAACCTAACATTCTGCTTAGGTGCACACCACTGTCAGCCTATATTAGAAAGACAACTGGTATTCATCTTACAGTGATCTCCTGAGCCACCTGCACAGACAGCTGCAGCAGAGCAGTAAGCAGACTGCGAATCAGGCACTTGAGAAGCTTTGATGAAATTCTTTAGACAAGCAAGTACTGCCAAGCACTGTTCCACTGTTTGTTGCTTTTGTGTATCAGCTGCCAGAGAGTACTTGTGTTTACTTTTACATGTAAATTCTCAGCTATTTTGAAAAGTATCAACAAGAACTTGGCCAAGTATCAACATTGTTACATCTTTTTCCAGAATCAGATAGCAGAAAGAAATGGAAAAAGGTGATTCTTTCAAGACTAAGTAGAAACAACCCCAATTTTAAGCTTCCTCTAAATCAGTAATTGACAAGGGTAACGAATTCTGCTCAATTATGTGCGAGTCTGGATATATTCACAGCAGAGGTTACTACCATCTGTTGACTCATTTGAGACCTCAGAATTTCCTTCCAGTTTGAAGTAGGTCTGTGCTGAGGATTGAAGACACACTTACCACTTTGCAGGAGTGGAATATTTCTAACCAGCTGATTGGTCCCATTTTTCTGCCATAAGCAATTTTAACATTATCAGGATAGCACTGCATACTCCCATGGCATACTTTGATTTCTTGCTGCTGATCATTTTCATAGCACAATACTTTACTCAAGTATTTGTCCAATCTCATTTCAGGTTGTACTTTAATCCAAGATATTTATGTGCAAAACACAATATTAAATGGAGGCAGGCCAATAAAAGAAACAGCTTACTAGAATTTCAGTTGACTTTGTTAAAGGAAATTATTTTAAATTAATGTGGCTACTGAACTGTTGCCATACTCGACCTCAGAAAATATATTCCTTCTAATTTTTGCTGTGAACATTTATTTATTTAAGCTAAACTCCAGGTCTTGAATGTTGACCATAAAGAAGTCTCAGATTTCCTGCTACTATTTCAGGTTTTTTTCTAAACAAGGGCAAACAACATATGTTTGCTGCATTAGCATTACGCTGCCAAAACATCCCTCTTAAATGAAATCATCTATGTATTTTTGGTAGAATCTTATTTAACAACTTCCACTCCGACAGAAACAGAGTTAAAACAAGGCTGTTTTGTTTTCACTGAGCAACAGTTTGGTGACTCGTTTACTAGATGGCGCTCAAAACATTTTTCCATATGCTCTTCTCAAAGAGAATCTGACTTAAATGTGGTTTACCTTCACAAGTGAATGAAGGCTTTTTTCACCAAACATATCCCAGAGGAAGGTCAGGTCTTCCTGGCTGTCCACATGTGGCTGCAGCTGGGCTGGCAATGCAGCCAGCAGCTCGTACAGACCTATAAAATGAAAATAAAACACAAAGTGTAATCTAGGGGTGATCTCATTAATTTCACTTAACAGTTCTGTGTAATTGGCTGCCTGGAGCATGCCATTTTAACTGAATAGGGAGTCTGAAGTATCCAAAACAGCATTAACTTGTAGAATCAAAAGGAACAGTTAAAAAAAATGACTAAGAAACCAGTATTAGCAGTGTACTTTTTACCTTGTCACAGTCGTCAAGCTTCTACATCCACATATATTTACACAAGGTTATGCAGAAAATTCATAAAGGTTTTGAAAAAAGGACAAACCCAGAAAAAAACATACATTCCTTTGCTTAATCGTTATTCCATTTCCCTTGATGTTAGCCAAAGAGCGAAATGAGTCATGAATAGGAAAAACTTCCTTAAAAGAACAGAAACTGGATAGGGTGGTCCATTAAAAAAAGATTCGTGGTTTCTCTAAATATTTCTTGCTAATATATTGCTTAAGATTTTATTTTTTTTTTTAAAACCTGTGTTCAGTAGGGATCCACAGCGATACAAAAGCAACATCTCTGTTTTGCAGGACTAAACCTTTAAAAATAAACCCAACAGAGTTTTCCCAGACATACACAGAAATATTTCAGTAACATTTTTAATGTGCAGGTATTTGAGATTCTCCGTAAGGTTAAGGCAATTGCTGTTCTCAGTTATTTGTGGCACACCTCAGCCATGGTCTCCGAGGGGCAGACAGTAGCACACTGTTCCACAGTAGCATAGAGCATAAAATATCCATCATGCACACAGGCCATCAAAGTGCTGTCCAAGAAATGTAGCAACAGTGTTTGCAGCAGTCCTCTTTAGGGAGGTAACCTGGCATGAGTTGATATCAATTCATAGCACATGTTTAATTTTCCAGTGGGATTACTTGGGGTAAAAAGGACAAAATGCCTTTTTCTCCTGTCTGCTGTCTACAAAAACACCAATAGTCTCCTGGGATCCAAGATACACGGTCCTGTTGTTATTTTTAGGCTGAGTAAGTGCTGCTGTTCATCACAAGAACAGATTTACAACATATTCTACTGGTGAAAGAACACTGTTGTAAATTCCAGGTTACCTATTGTTATTACACTTATTATCTCCCTAAAACTTATGATTTAGAATATTTATGAGTAAACATCATTTCATAACCTTTCCAGGCACTACATATGCCTTTCAGCATTACATACAGCACTTTTGGGATCTGAATATTTACATTTTCATCTTTTTATCGCCTCTCAGTAAAATATTCTGGAAAAAAAAAGTTCCTTCCAGATATATTCTCTTTGTGGTCCAAGAGTTTTTGCAGTAGTTCACATTTGTTTCTCTTAGAGTCTTGATTTCATTTAAATCTGTTCTTGTGTACACTTCAGAAATTCTTCAAGAAGAAGATACAACTCAGACCACTACAATTTTGCACAGACAGAAAAAAAGAACACTGAGCTTTGCCTAAAGAGATGCAGTCAATGATTGAGGTGACACCCAGAGAAAAGAAGTCTGAATGGGACCTGTGGCTCCAGCTTTCCTGACTATTAGAACCTCAGCACTTAGCAAAACCAGTTCTTTTGATCACACAATTTATGTGTCGAAACCAATTTCATTTAGAAAATTAAAAACTTTGTTTACACTCGGTTTTATATCTCTGCAGCCACTTTTGTTATTCAAAATAACTTAAAGGTTGTTAGAAAACGGAATAGAAAGTTCAGTGTGAGCATAACTGCTTAGGAACAATTGTGTGTACCATTCAGAGGAAAGAAAACAGTAACTTCAGTCAGTCCCTTCAAATAATCCATGAACAGAGTAAGCTTTCTTTTCCTTGATCCATCAGATCTACTTAAATTCCACATATAATCAACTATAAAACTATCCTCGTAACTTGCTCCTCAAAGCTTTGATAATCAAATCCCCAGTTAAAAAACAAAAGTTCATGTTTCCTCATGGATGAACTATTAGTGACAGAGAGAGAGACTGTACCTGCCCATATTGAGACTTAGGTTTTACACACAGAACTCCCAGAGAAAACCCCTCCTGCCAGAACTCTGGGAGTGACTGACCCTTCAGGTGCTTATATATATGAAGGATTCCACATCAGGGTCAAAAGTTCCTGTGGGCATTGCTTATCCATACAGGCCTGAATTGCCCCTTCTAGGGAAACACTCATCCATGTCCCTGTGCATTACTCTGGCTCCGACAGCAATGCTCCCAACCTGGGCAACTCTCTCCTGGGAAAGTGGAGGTGCTGACTGATTTTATGCAATATCATGGCCATATTTCTAGCTCTTCCCTGCTCTGGCTCTAGAGTCCAGTGTTCACAGCTTTCAGCCAGAAGGAAATCAGAATCCTGCAGCAGTGGAACCCGAGGACTGTGCCATGCAGCATCCTGGAGCACACCATGCTCTCTCCCTTCAGACTCCTCATGGAACTAAGAACTATGTAGACAGCAATTTAAAAAACAACTCAATCAAGGAACCAGATGAAAATCAGGCAAAAGGAGGACTTAGCATATTTACCTGGGGAGAACAGAAGACAGAACTCTAGACTATGTCTGCAGTTAAACTTGTGTAATTCCAGGTCATCTGACTGTGCTATAGCCTCCTTCCAAACAGAAGGTAATGTCAGAAGAAGGTGGTGGCACCTGTAAAGGTTTACTTTTTCTTGCTCCTTCTATGGTGCACAGTATCACAGAATCCAAAATTTTCAGATGGGCATTCTGATTTCACGCTTTTTCTTGCTCCTTCTATGGTGCACAGTATCACAGAATCCAAAATTTTCAGATGGGTGTTCTAATTTTACATATGAAGAAAAACAGAAAGTGGATCTTCTACACACACTTCTAAGGAACACGTTACCTTTACTTGTGTCTCAGTTAGATGAAGTGTGTTGTTGTCATTTATTGCAGTGTAAAGAAACAATGAAAATTATGGCTGGCAAGTGACCTTACTAGCAAATTGAATATAAAGTGCTTTTGTGACAGGGACAAAACAGTTTGTCAAGTTACTGTCAACTGGTAATGATGTTGAAACCACTAAACTGGCAGCAACACATTGACCTAATTTGAATTACCAGATTTGATAAACTGTCACATCTTTCCAGCACCTGAAGGGCAGTAGCTCAAATCCCTGCAGACCTGTAAGGTCTCACTGCAAATTAAAAATGCATTCCCTGTGTAAGCCACGGAATGAGATGTATCAGTACCTCCCAGCTGGATGCTACCACTGGCTGCCAGGCCTTGGTTGTGCCCTTGGTCTCAGTTTGGTATTTCTCTTGCAATTCCACCTCCTTGAGTCACATGGCATGCTGGGACCTCATGTTTTTTCACAGATACCCACAATTTAAATAAACACTACAAAGAGCTTTTAAAAAATGTATACAGAACTTGAGTCACATGGCATGCTGGGACCTCGTGTTTTTTGACAGATACCCACAATTTAAATAAACACCACAAAGAGCTTTTAAAAAATGTATATAGAGGTTGGGGTTTTTTAAAGAAAAAAATCCTGACAAACCAAAAAAAAAAAATCTTGTTTTTAATGCCTGATGTTGGCAACACTGTCTCTTGTAAAACAGAAACAAAAAATCAGCTTTTATTGTACACTGTTGCTATTCTACTTAGGTTCTTGAATGTATTTTTAGTCTAGTTTGGCTAAGTTTAACCAGCATTTATATTTAAAAGGAATCATGTGGCCACTGGGATTTACCAGTATCAAAATAGTTCAGGTGTCAGAATTCAGTAAAGTAAACATGACTTACACAAGAAAAACTCATTTACTTCGATTTTTAAAAGCAGATCATTTATTCAAAGGTCCCAGAAGACCTGAGCATAGATTACAAAAATTAACAATGAGTTTAAACATGGAGATGTAGGACTATTCTGCAATTACAAGATGGGAAATAAGACCACTCAATCCTATGGTTTGGGGTGGGGAATCCAAAGCAGATCACAATGTAATCATCCCTGGACATTCCCAATTCAGCAAAACAGTGGAGGAAAAAGGACTCCTCTTTCTAGATTAAACCAGGTCACATAATCAAGTGGCAGTAATAGGAGTCAATTCCAGATGAAGGAAGCTCCTGGTTTTAGACACTAGTATGCTGCTATTTATATTCATGTTATGTAAGTTAGGTACAGTATCTCACACTCCTGTGAACTCATTGAAAGTCTCTAGCATGAAACTGTTACTAAAAGGAGATAAGGACTGCACATGGGAATACTATAAAATGGTTGTCAGAGTGGAAGGGGGAGGAGGTTGTTTGAAGGTACTTGCAGAGTCTATCAAATCTGTTTACCTGATTCAAGGATAAAGAAATTTAAAAGCAACAAATTAACACTGGACATACAATACACTTTTCATAAAATTGAGTTCATTCAAGAACACTGACATAGGGAATTAAAATTCAATGACTAGACAACCTTGCCTACAGAAATTGTCCATATGAACTACACACATGTAGGTAACATGAACACAAATATTTATGAGCAAGTAAGATAAAATGGTTGCAGAATGAGGCTTGTACATTCTGCCACCTTGGTCTAAAGTAATTTCAAGGGAAAAATCCAGCTACGTTTGACAACTCAGCACCACCACGACTTAAAAAGGTAAAAGATAAAATTAAATTTGTTCTTTTAACATACTTAAGCAGTTCCTGTCTTCAGAGTATCTTCAGCTTTTTCTAAGCTTAATTAATACAATTTAATTTTGTTCAGTCTGAAAACCAAAAGGTAGAATAATGGCAATTTCAATTTGAAAATGCGTAGATAGACTTGCACATGCAATCAGATTTAAGCAGCAATGGAAACCTTTTTAACTCAGAAACAACAGGACATAAAGGATTTTTCCAGTTCTAGAAAACTGCTTCCTTTGTAGTGTACAGAAGACTGCTTGTTCCTAGGAGGAGAATAAATGGCTAAGCAATTGATGAAACTGTTCCCGTCCTGAGCCACTCACACTGCAGATTCCAGATGCTCTACATTCTTGACATCAGAATGGAAAAATTTA